GAGATAGAGATAGATAGAAGATAGAGAGAGAGAGGGGAGAAGGGGAGAGGAGAAGGAGAAGGAGGAGGAGGCAGAGGAGCAAGGGGAGAGAAAGAAAATGGAAAAGAGGGAAATTTAATAACAGCGGGAGTGAGGGAGAGGAGAGAAGGAGGAAAGGATCAGAGGCAGAGGAACAGAAGTTGAGAAATGGGGAAAGAAGGATACGAAGGGAGAATTAATAACAAAAACAAAACAAGACCTGGAAAGAAAAAACAGAGAGGGCGACAAAGGAAATGGAGATAAGAAGAGAGAATTAGAAGCAGAAGAGAAGGAAGTGGGGAAGTGAGAGACCGAAGAAAGATTACGTGGCAGGGTAAGAAGGAGAGAGAAAGAAGGGAGAATCGAAAATAAAAAAGTGGTAAGAAACAAGAGAGAAGAAAGAAGGCAGGAGAAGAAAAAAACAACAACAGAACAACTAAAAATTATTAAAAAGAAGAAACATGATAATTTTACAACTATAGGAAGTAAAATAAATAAATAAAAAGAGAATAAAAAATAAAAAACTAAACATGATAAAAAGAAGTAAAGAAAAGAAAAGAAAATACACATAAAAAAGAGAAGAAAAATACACATAAAAAATACACACAATAAAAAGAAACAAAAGAAATACACATAAAGAAAAACAAAAACAAGATCAGCCGAAAGAAGGACGAAGCAACCAAGAGCTAACGACAGACTGGCAGCGACGACAGAAACTTCCCGGGAACTGCATGGTGCATGACGCGAGGGCCGGCTGAGGGGAGGCCAGGAGGAGGAGGAGGGGAAACGGATAAAGGAGGAGATAGAAGAGGAACGGTGGTGGAGGAGGAGGAGGAGGAGGAGGAGGAGGGAAACGGATAAAGGAGGAGATTGAGAAGAAACGGTGAGGAGGAGGAAGAGGAAAGGATAAAGGAGGAGTAGAGAAGGAACGGTGGAGGAGGAGGAGGAGGGAAACGGATAAAGGAGGAGATAGAAGAGGAAACGGTGAGGTGGAGAGAAAAAAGGGGGAAGTGAAAATGAGGATGAGGCGTGTTGGAGGGAGGAGTATAAGGAGGTAAATAGGAGGAGGAGGAGGGAAACGAGAATGGAGGAGGAGAAGGAGGAGGAGGGGAAACGGATAAAGGAGGAATAGGAACGGAAACGGAATAAAGAGGAGATGAGAAGGAAGAGGAGGAGAAGAGGGAAACGGAACGGTGGAGGAGGAGGAGAGGGAAAGGAGAGATAGAAGAGGAAACGGTGGAAGGTGGAGGAGAAAAAAGGAGAAGATGAAAATGAGATGAGGCGGTGTTGGAGAGGAGTATAAGGAGGGTAAATAGAGGAGGAGGAGGGGAAACGATAAAGGAGGAGATAGAAGAAGGAACGGTGGGAGAGGAGGAGGAGGAGAAACGGATAAAAGGAGGTAGAGAAGAACGGTGAGGGAGAGGAGGGGAAACGTTGATAGAAGAGAACGTGGAAGGAGTGAAAAAGGGAGAAGATGAAAATGAGGATGAGGCGGTGTTGGAGGAGGAGTATAAGGAGGGTGAATAGGAGGAGGAGAGAAGAAGGGGAAACGGATAAAGGAGGAGTAGAGAAGGAACGGTGGAGTGGAGGAGAGGGGAAACGGATAAAAGAGGAGACAAGGAACGTAGAGGAGGAGGAGAGGAAACTGATAGAGGAGGAGACAGAAGGAACGGAGGAGGTGGAGGAGGAGGAGGAGAGAGTAAAGAAAATGAGGAAGGCGGTGTTGAGGAGGAGAGGATAAGGAAGAGGGTGAATAGGAGGAGGGGAGGAGGAAAATAGGAGGAGCGGGAGAATAGAAGGAGCAGGAGGAAGAGGAAGAAGATAAGGACAAGGAGATACTGGAGGAGGCGGAGAATGATGAAAAAACAACCAGAAAATACATTCTAATATACGAAAGGGAAAAAAAAAAGACTAAAACAGAAAGAAAACGAGAACAGCGGAAATTAATACGGGGAGGGACAAGAAACAAAACAAAACAAAACGTAATAAAAAGCTACATGGATATTTATATTTTCATTTCATTTTAACACGTAATCTAAAGCTAAACGGATTTCAAAAACAATTCTTTTCATTTATCTCTTTTCCACGCAACTTTTCCTCACCGCGCAAGACTCTCCCGAGACCCTCCTCCTCATCCTTCCCGAGTGACGTCATCAAAGACAACCGGAAGACAGGGAATCCCGCCAAAAAATCATCCCCGACTTAAGATTTATTATACGTCGCCATTTTTTTTTTTACCTTCCCTCTTGGCAATCCTTCTACGAAAGACAGAATTAACTAAACGTGCATATTTTTTCTCTCTTTTATTGGTGTGATACGATAAAGAATTATTATAACTGCAATTCCGATGGACAGTTTAAATTCGTCGTTGGTATAAAAATATGAATGAGAATGAATATCGTCTCACAATCAATAGAGATGTATTTGACCTCAATATATCTTCATCAAAAATACAATACAAGAGATGTATTTGACCGGTTTCGAATATATCTTCATCAAAAATACAATACAAGAGATGTATTTGACCGGTTTCGAATATATCTGTCAATACAATACAAGAGATGTATTTGACCGTTTCAAATATATCTGTCAAAAAATACAATACAAGAGATGTATTTGACCGGTTTCAAATATATCTCAGAATACAAGAGATTGTATTTGACCGCAGTCAAAAATACAATACAAGAGATGTATTTGACCCCTTCAAAAATACAATACAAGAGATGTATTTGAGTTTCAAATATATCTTCATCAAAAATACAAACAAGCGATGTATTTGGTTTCGAACATATCTTGCGAAATTTTTTTTCACCTCAAATACATCGCAGATATGTATTTTTTGACGAAGAATATTCGAAATCAAATACATCGCAAAGTATTGTATTTTTTTGACGAAGATATATCGAAAAACCGATCATTTGGTTTCGACGAAGATGAGATAAAATACATTGTATTGTATTTTGACTCGACGTCAAATACCATCTCATTGTATTGACAAATGTATTCGAAAAATACACTCGTATTGTATTTTTTATCGTCAAATACATCGCAAGTATTGTATTTTTTGACGAAGATATATTCGAAACCGGTCAAATACATCGCAAGTATTGTATTTTTTGACGAAGATATATTCGAAACCGGTCAAATACATCGTTTGTATTGTATTTCTGACGAAGATGTATTCGAAACCGGTTAAATACATCGCTTGTATTGTATTTTTGATGAAGATATATTCGAAACCGGTCAAATACATCATTGTAATTGTATCTGACGAAGATTATTCGAAGCGGTAATTTTTGACGAAGTATTGTATTTTTATATTGATAATTTCTGACGAAGATATATTCGAAAACCGGTCAAATACATCTTGCATGTATTTCTGACGAAGATGGTCAAATACATCTCTTATAAAACCGGTCAAATACATCTCTTATTGTATTTTGACGAAGATTATTCGAAACCGGTCAAATACATCGCTTGTAGTGTATTTTTGACGAAGATGTATTCGAAACCGGTCAAATACATCGCTTGTATTGTATTTTTGACGAAGATGTATTCGAAACCGGTCAAATACATCGCTTGTATTGTATTTTTGATGAAGATGTATTCGAAACCGGTCAAATACATCGCTTGTATTGTATTTCTGACGAAGATATATTCGAAACCGGTCAAATACATCGCTTGTATTGTATTTTTTGATGAAGATATATTCGAAAACCGGTCAAATACATCGCTTGTATTGTTTTTGACGAAGATATATTCGAAACCGGTCAAATACATCCCTTATATTGTATTTCTGACGAAGATGTATTCGAAACCGGTCAAACATCTTGTATTGTATTTTTTGACGAATATATTCGAAACCGGTCAAATACATCTCTTGTATTGTATTTTTGATGAAGATATATTCGAAACCGGTCAAATACATCTTGTATTGTATTTTTGACGAAGATATATTCGAAACCGAAATACATCGTGTATTGTATATGACGAAGATGTATTCGAAACCGGTCAAATACATCGCTTGTATTGTATTTTTGACTGAGATTATTCGAAACCGGTCAAATACATCGCTTGTATTGTATTTTTGATGAAGATATATTCGAAACCGGTCAAATACATCTCTTGTATTGTATTTTTGATGAAGATGTATTCGAAACCGGTTAAATACATCGCTTGTATTATATTTTTGATGAAGATATATTCAAACGGTCAAATACATCTGTATTGTATTTTTATATTCGAAACCGGTCAAATACATCCCTTGCATTGTATTTCTGACGAAGATGTATTCGAAACCGGTCAAATACATCTCTTGTATTGTATTTTGACGAAGATATATTCGAAACCGATCAAATACATCTCTTGTATTGTGAAGATATTCATTACCTTCATGTCTTTGTACATTTGTCAACATGAATACGGTTCTTCGTCTTTGGTGCCAAGTGTCACATAAAGTGTTAAAACTGACAAGCAGGATTACATATCTGTAAATAGAATGATAACCAAAGCAAAATGTCGGTTAGAGCGCTAAAGTTCACAAGCATTATTAACATATCTGGATGCTACTGGATTGCTCTCTCTCCCTTCATGCATCGAAGGCTCATTTTCCTTTGCTATGTACATTTTCTTTACAGACGCTACAAGGAAATGATTTACAATTCTCCAAAGCCCGAATAAATAAAAATAAATAGTTTGTAATATTATCATTTTTGGGGTATTACGAACTGAGTAATTGCTGGCGTGGATAGCTTCTCAGACACGGAGTAATACTGTGAATTAATGAATATTCCTTACACGTCTTGGTTATCTGATAATTACCATGAAGTCTGATAATTACCATGGAGTGCGAGTCAAGGTCACATGTTGGCCTTCATGCAGTTTTTAAAAGAGAATTTCGCTTAAAGTTTGCCCTTGGGGTGGGGGTGGGGAGTAGGGTGTGTTTCTTTACAAGTACACAGACGATCAGACACAATACTTACAGGATAAATAAGCTTCTGTGTCGTGTCTTGCGAGATACTTCCATATCACTGGCATACAGAGGTTTTCCCATGAAGCACCATCTGAAACTTTGCAATAGTTTGCGTGATTCTGCACGTCATTGCGATCGGGACTGGCAATAATATTCCATTAATGACACAGGTCAACGCTCCCTATGACCCGTCATGAGGTCACGTGAGGTTCTCCAACCTCGATACGTACGTTCAAGAGCCACGCACTGTCACAGGTTATCTTAAAGGAATTACGCCCGTGAAAGACAAAACTTAAAAGCACTCAAACTCTGTTAGATTTATCTCCTCGCTCGCCATGACATCCTCCACGAGAGCGCGAGAAACACACGTCCTCCCCCCGCCTCTGTAGCTGAACTACTGAAGTGACACCGAACAATAGAAAGAAGATTCCAAAAATCCCTTACGCCCCGCCCACAAAACGCGCCTCCACCAATCACGACTCTTCGCGCGTGTTATTAGCCTGGAATGCTCCGCCCCCTTCAAGCAAGTGGTATGGGAGCGACAAAAAGGAGTCAGATAAACGCAGAATTGGAGTGACCGCTGACACCTTCTCCGCCTATCGCCCTTTTCTTCTTTATTTCCTCTTCCTTCTCTTCCTGTTCCGTCGCGCCCTGGCTTTTCCCCTCTCCCGCTTTCCCCTCGTCTCCACGGTCCCGCCCGCGCGCTACAGGTTTCCTTTTTTTCTTTTTCTCTTTGCCTCGCTTTCGGCGTTCATTCTTCCTCTTTCGAAATCTCATGGCAGGTTCCTCCTCTTCCTCTTCTTGCTTCAACCTCTTCCTATTTTTCTAATTTCCTCCCCTTACTCCTCTCATCCGCTCCCTATATTTTTTTCTTCCTCTCTCCTCTTCTGTTTCATCCTCCTTTTTCTAATTTGCCTCCTCTTCCTAATTTTATATTTTCCTTCTCTTCCTCTTCTTTTATTATTATTTCCTCCTCTTCCTCTTCCTACTTTTTATTATTATTTCCTCCTTTCTTCCTCTCTCCTCTTCTGCATCACCCTCTCCCTTTTTCTCCGCTTACCCCCACACTCCCTCTGCCTCTCCTCCTCTTCCTATTTTTTGCTATTTTTTCTCTCCTCTTCATAATCGCCATCCTTTCCTAGCCACACATTCTAGCAAGATTTTTGAAATTTCGTTTGATCTCCTTCCTTTCTCTTTCTTCCTAACTTGCTTCCTTGCTTGCTTATTCCCTTTACCTCTATTTCTTTCCCTTCCTTCCACTCTCTGCCTAGTTCTCTATATGTCTCTTTCGCTCTCTGTCTCTGTCTATCTCTCTCTCTCCCTTTCCAACGCCCTTTTCTTCTCTCTCACTCTCACTCTCCTTTAACGCTCCCTATCCCTTTCCACCCTCTCCCTAACTCCCTTCGTCTCTTCCTCTCCCTTTCCCTTTAACCATCCCCTCTCCTTTCCCTTCACCCTTCCCCTTCCCCTTTAACGCTCCCTATCCCTTCCACCCTCTCCCTAAACTCTCTTCCCTTTCCTCTCTCCCTAACTCTCTTCCTCTCCCTTCACCTTCCCCCTCTCACCCTCTCCTCACCCTCCCTCTCACCCTCTCCCTCCACCCACCGACCTCATCGAGACCTTATAAACTTGGTAAAAAGCTCAAATTACTCGCCTTGTTTACGTACCACGAGATTACCCCGACCTTAATTAATTAATAAAAGGTTTAGTTAAAGGGTCGCGCGATCCTTAACGAGCCGGCACCGTAGCGGGAGACTCCCCTCGGCGGCTCAGCCATTAATCTAATGCTAATGGACGGGCTGGCGAGGGCGGGGCGTGGGCGGGGGTATGGGCGCCGCGCTCTGCCCCGTCGCGTGTCAGCCGGGCATGCAGACGTACCCCCCCAAAAAGAAGAAGAAACGTACACGGGCGCAGGAATACATATATACCCATACATGCAATACACGCACGCACGCACGCAAGCACGCACGCACATCCACCCACACACACACACACACCAAGAAATATCAGATTAAACAATACTGAAATTCTAATCCGCCTCGCGCTCATGCGAGACTCCATTAGCAGCAGCTCTACGAGGGAAATTCCCAGGCTTCGTGAGAATCCCCGGCGACAGAGAGATGAACACAACACTGTCACTGCTCGAGGGGGGAGCGGGGCGGCGGGGCTGGTGGGGGGGGGGGTCGGCTTCTGCTGGGGGAACGGGGGCTGGTGGGGGGCTCGGGGGGAGCGGGAGGGGGGGGGGGGGAAGCGGGAGGGGAGTTGGTGGTCTTTCGTCTTTGCTTGATTTTTTATTTCTGCATTTTCTTTTTTTTTTGCTGCACTGCTCGGGGGGAAGTGGGGGGGAAGGGGGAAGGGGGGCTGGTGGTCTTGACTTTTTCTTTGCTTGATTCTCTGTTTCTTTTTTTACATGTTTTTTTTCCTGTCTCCTATTCTCTTCCTCTCTGTAGCATTCGTGAGTGGAAGATGGTGGATGATGAGAGGGGGGATGAAGAGGAGGGAAGGATGGAGAAGGAGAAGGAGGTGGAGGAGGGGGGGGGGGGAGAAGGAGAAGAATAAGACGTAAGGAGGATTTGAGGAGAGAGAGAGAGAGAGAGAGAGAGAGAGAGAGAGAGGAGAGGAGAAGGAGAGAGAGAGAGAGAGAGAGAGAGAGAGAGAGAGAGAGAGAAGAGGAGAGAGAGAGAGAGAGAAGAGAAAAAAGAAAGAAAAAAAGATAGAAGAAGCATGAGGCAAAGAAACGATTAACCCGACCAAGAACCAGACCACGAAAAAGACCCCCCCCATAAAAAAGAAAAGACAAAAAAAAAAAAGAAGACAGACAGAAGAAAGAGAGAGAAAGAGAGAAAGGGGCAACCCTGCTGGCCCTCGAGTCGCCCAATCTAATATGTTTAGGCAATGATTCAACAAACTATCGCCTGCTATCACTTCTTGACATAATGATGTTGATATTTCCCCTCCGGGCGGCCTCCGGGCCTTCAGGGAAACGGTCGCTCTTTAAAGGCGATTTTTTTGAGATTTTGGAGAGATAGTTTACCCTTGTGTGTGTGTGTGTGTATCTCTTGTACCGTCTCATTCTCTTTTTTTTCTCTTTCTCTACCCTTCATCCTCCCTCCTTTCCTCCCTCTTTCTTTTTCTCTCTCCCTCTCTCTCTCCTCTTTCTCTCTCTCTCTCTCTCTCTCTCTCTCTCTCTCTCTCTCTCCTCTCTCTCTCTCTCTCTCTCTCTCTCTCTCCTCTCACTAACTCCCTATCCCTCCCCTCCTCTCCCTCTCTCTCTTACTTCATCCGTAATTCGTCCCTTTCCTTGTTCCTCTCTTCTCCATTATCCTTGCTTACTTGGGATTCCATAATTAAAGCAAAATGATACACTTTGCAGAATCGCGTTACACTTACAACATTAATTATGCGAGAAAGAGGGAGGCAGGAGGAGGAGGAGGAGGAGGAGGAGGGAGGAGGAGATGGAGGGAGGCGGAAAGAAAAGGAAAGAAGGAAAAATAGGCGGGAAGGAGGAGGAGATAGAGAAGAGGAAAAGAAAGGAAAGGAGGAAAAAGGCGGAGATAGGAGGGATAGAGGAAGAGGAAAAGAAAGTTAGTTAAAGAAAGAGGAGAGAGAAGGGGAGGAGGGGAGGGTATAGAAGGAAAAGAAAATCTGGGAGGAGAGGCAGGCTGATATAACATGATATGTGTATTTAGGAAGGGGCGGTTTCATGATGAGGATTAGGGGTGAGGACGAGGGAGGATGAATTCTAGGTTTTGTGCGGTTCAGTTATAAGAGGAAGGGTGTACGCGGAAGGAGGAGAAGAGGATTACGGGAGTTTAGGGGAAGGAGGAAAAGGAGGAGAAAGAGGGGAAGGGGGGGATTGAGGAAGGGGGAAGGGGGAATTTTTGGAGAGGGCAGGGGATTGAGGGGGGAGGGGGGGGAAGGGGGGGAAGGGGGGGGGGGTAAAAGGAAGGGGGGAATTTGGTGGGGGGGAGGGATTTTTTGGGAAGGAAGAAAAGGGGAAAAAAGGGAAGGAAAAAGGACGGGGAAGGGGGAAAAAAAGAGAAAAAAAAAAAGGAAAAAAAAAGGGGGGAAAAAAGATGAGAAATAGAACGATAATNAATGATAGTGTGTATCTTATTAGTGTGAGTTTTATCTATTTTTTTTGTTTTAATTATTTAACGATGATCGAGTCTGTTCAACATATTAACTTTTAGCTAAGATTCTGCGTTATCTTATAATAATAATGAAAATAATGTGTATATATCTAATATTATATATTCTCTTTTTTTAACATGATCGTCTGTTCAGTTGTTAACATTTAGCTTATTTTTTTTCTCGGATTCTTTTATTTTTTGTTCCCTTTATTAATGAGCATGACGGGTTTATCATTTTCATATCCTGTAAACTTGCCTATCTGTTATCGTTATAGGGTATAGGTTAGGCGAGGGTACGCTATATAGTTATAGATAGGCACAAGCGCTCGAAAGCTTAGAATGACGGATTTGGATGAAGCGTTGTGTGTCCAGAGCGGCTGTGTGTGTATATATCTATATGTATATATACACACAGCGGAGCCCCAACTCCACGTCCCATCATCTACTAGTTTCCATACACAGTTTTCTTCCCATATAGCTATCGACCACTCCTACTCTATTTCCATTACTTTATTTTCACTTATACTGATCATACATATATTTTAGTTTTATGTTTTCCGTATTTGTGTTATGATTATATAATCATATGATCTTATATCTATATCGATATCTATCTTAAATCTATATCTATCTATCTAGCTAATCTATCTATCTTAAATCATATCTAATCTTATAATATGTATAAACCTCTTCTACTCTCTCTCTCTCTCTCTCTACTACTGTATCATTGCTCTCGCACATTGCTAGGTTATATAATAACATACATTATATGATTATTAGCATTCATCCACAGATATAAATTCCTCCCCATAATATATCGCGTATCTCTCCCCCCCACCCACTTCGCTTACTCCCTTCGCGTTCCCTCCTAATCCCCGTCTCCTAATTATGTCACGTCGCTGCTTGTTTGCTCGTCTCCGGCCGGGGACTAAAAGGCCCGACGGGATTGGCCATCCCAGTCGCGCCCAAAATTCGGCCGGATTAGAGCGGTCGAGAAACACATTAAAAATTAATGAGTTATGGCCGCACATTCAGCGCATAAGGATGGGGCAGGTGGGCGTCTGCATTTTTTTTTTTTTTCTTTTTGTATACACACACATATGCGCGCGCGCGCTTATACCAATCTTTCTATCACAGAAATGTGTGTGCGTATGTATACATATATGTTGTGTATATATATATATATGTATATATATATATATATATATATATATATATATATATATATATATATATATGTGTGTGTGTGTGTGTGTGTGGTGTGTGTGTGTGTGGTGTGTGTGTGTGTGTGTGTGTTGTGTGTGTGTGTGTGTGTGTGTGTGTGTGTGTGTGTGTGTGTGTGGTGTTGTGTGTGTGTGTGTGGTATATATATATATATATATATATATATATATATATATAATATATATATATATATATATATATAATATATATGTGTGTGTGTGTGTGTGTGTGTGTGTGTGTGTTTGTGTGTGGTGTGTATGTATGTAGGTATATCCATACATATATATATTGTATATATATATATATATATATATATATATATATATATATATATATATATACATACATTATATATATATATATATATATATATATATATATATATATATATATATTATATATATTATATATATATTGATAAAACAGAATACTGGCTGCAAATGCCTCTTTTATATACAAATTGTTTTGCTTGC